CAGGCTTTGATGGAAGGACCGAAGAAAAAGCTCAAACCCACGAAGAACTTGAAACCCTAGATGTTGTTCGAATAAGAATCACCGAAATATGAAGAGGTTAGGAGAGGAAGAGGCTTGAGAATCCTTTTATAGGGTTTTAGAAGTGGTTTCGAACTCAGGGAAGCGGGTAAAAGTGACTCGAAAAAGAACCCCAACACTCATTTTCAAGCCCCAGTTGACCGCCTCTGTGCGCGTCAGTTGATGCTGACGCGCTTTAGCGCGTCAGTCTACGCTGACGCGCATTAGCGCGTCAGTCTTTGCTGACGCGCATTAGCGTGTCAGTCTATGCTGACATGTTAAAGCATGGCACGCCAGCAGTGATTCCATAAGTATTTGAATATATACATCCCTCATTGTATTTGGAATAAATATCCGAAAACTCCGATGAGTATATGAGTATAAACTGCATCTCCTTGAACCTCCCAACGGGTATATGAGGTTAAACTATTTCCCGAACACTCCGATAAGGTATATGAGTATAAACTATTCCTCCATTCTTCAACACCAGCTCTAATTCAAGACTTTGACAACAGCCACGCGATAAACACAGCACCGGAAGAATTTTAGCTATTCTACAAAGCACTGAATAGACTAAAAGATGAAGAAGTCAGGAATTGAAGCCATTCACAGACCATTCTACGCAACTTCTTCAACTAAATACTGAAGGGATTACAAGTAAAACCTATCTTATCCAAAGTGTCTCAGACTCTTCTATAAAAGAACGAGTCTGAGATACTTTGGAGGGGGTATCTGTAGACGTCAAAAAATGCTCATAGATATCCAAATACAACTCAAGACTGAGAAGAGAACAAAGTGTATGCATGTGACAAAATACACTGACAGGCGACACATTTAGGCGCGGCAGCATATGGTGACGCGCATGTGACAAAATACACTGACAGGCGACACGTATAGGCGCGGTAGCCTATGTTGACGCGCCAAAGGCGCGGCAGCAAGGAGTGACGCGCAAATAATACAGTAGCCTTTTATGTGAATTGTTGACAGTTTTTAACATCTCTTGGAGGTCCACATGGCAGCATATCAGAAAGAGAATATATGCTGACATGTACAAGAAGTTAAACCATAAAAAAATGGTTAAAAGTCATGGGAGGACGGTTTCAAACATGATGGAACGTGGCTGGAACTGCCTCTTTGGCCGCGCCAGTCCATACTGACGCGCCAGTAGCCGCGGCAGCATAGGCTGATGCGCCCAAAGAGCATGTATTCGATCAGTTATTTCGCCTCCATTTCTACTATTGTGCACTCCTATCCCTATAAATACCTCCCTAGACACGAAATAAAGGACAGAGAGCAGATTGGAGCATAGAGACTTGGGCTTTTGGTGATTTTGAGGAAGAGAGAGAGAGCCTTCATCTTTCATAAATAGTGTTTGGAGATTCCTAGAGATCTAAGCTCAGACTTGATCTTTGGAAGAGTGAACATCTTACATTAATAAGATATTCGCTTCAAATTCCTACTTCGATAAACGAAGGAAGAATCTCTAAACCCCTTCACAATCTGTGAATCGGTGGTCCATGAGCCAAAACACTCCCGGCACAGGCAAAGTCCCACAAAACAAAAGTCGATAAACGATTTTTTGTGTTATTTTCTCAAAAGTTGTAATTTTCTTATTTTTCGTTGTATTTCATTGTAAACAACTGAAGTTTAATGGAATCATCAATGGAACCGACTTTCGACGAAAACATACACCCCCAAGGGTGTTATGAAAGCAATATGCCTTTCATATTTAGAGTACATTTTAACCCGGTTATATCCTGAAAACTCATCCATGAAAGACATCCTCTCATACCCACAAGTATTGTCAATCATGACATCTATGATGGGGAGTGAAAATTCGTCTTTCGGACATGCAGCATTAAGGTCGTGAAAGTCAATGCAAATTCGGACCTTGTCATTCTTCTTAGGCACGGGCACAATATTAGCAACCTAGTCAGGGTGTTGTTCCTCTCTGATAAATCCTGAGTCAATTAGCTTTTTGACTTCAGAATCAATTGCCTCCATGATCTCTGGATGGAACTGGCATTGTTGTTGTTTGACGAGTTTCGCATTCGGATCAATGTTAAGGCGATGCATAGCTACTTAGGATCAAGACCAGGCATGTCTTCATAATTCCAAGCGAAGACATCTATATATTCTCTGATGAGAGATATGAGGTCTTCTTTCTCGGGTGTTGATAGACTCTTGCTTATGAAGATTGGCTTAGGATTGGATTCATCCCCTATGTTGACCTGGATCACCTTATCTTTGGTGGGCGGTTCGCGCTGTTCGAAACGCATATCCCATAAGATGTTAAGGCGTTTGATCCAAGGGTCGTTGGTTGATTCAATCAGTCCTCGGTCATCCTCTGTTTCTTCGACTGGATGACTAACTGAAGCCATGTTCACGAACATGCTTTTAAATATTGCTCCGACACTTACATCGGATTCCCATGAGGATGTTCCAGATGAATGTTCTTGACACAGGCAGTGGTCGGTCTCGTCTTCTGAAAAAGGAGGAGTTGAGACATAACCTAACCCTCTTTTAGTTTTATGATAATAATCAAGAGGTTTTCCTTTTGGAGTAGAAAGCCGAATTAGCGCTCGTCTTCCTTTCCCAAAATTTAAACCTTCATGTTTACCAAAGTCATAACCCGTCATTTTCATCAATTTGATGGAGTTAGGTTCATGATAATAGAATTGGAGGACTCCCCGGTCTTCCTCTGAACTCTCTCGCTAGAGCAATTCAGGTTTGATCTTACCAAAGTAGATCGGCTTTTTCCCTTTTCTTTTGGATGGGACCATAAAGAAAGCATTCTGCACATCCTCCATCTCTTCGAATGCGGCGAAGGATGACTTTAGAGGCAGAGTGAGTGAAGCCTCGGCGTACAATGTGCACCATGAATCAGTATATGCATCTGTATCAATACATATTTGTTCATATTCAAAGGACACATTAGACAAGTACGCCAAATTAAAATCTTCATTAATGTACCATTCGCCCTCACTCGGTACATTATTATTATCTTCATTCTGACCCATTACATCAAAATTCAACTCCCATGAACAATCTTCCTCAGGATCTTGCTCGATGTCGGCTTCACTACCACTATCGGCGACCTCGTCTGATTGCTCTGGTTCTTGAGAATCCAGCTAGAAGACTGAATCGGTGTGAAAATTCCCCACTCCTCTGAAGGGTTTCTTCTCAGCAATCAGAGTTCTGACTTCTCCTTCCTCATCAGCATATTTCATGACCTGATGAAGGGTAGATGGGACAATGCGATTCGCATGAATCTAAGGTCATCCTAACAACAAATTGTACGATGTGTCTGCATCTATGATGTAATAAGTCACTTCGGACTTGAGATCTCTGATTTGACACATGAGTTTAATTTTACCCAAGGGACGTGTACTATTGGCGTTGAAGCCAAAGATGGTTGTCTAAGTGGAACTTACCCGGTTTAGGGGAATCCCTAGGACTTGCATGACCCGATATGGCATGATGCTGAGTGTCGAGCCCGGATCAACTTGTACACGGCTGATTTCAGAAGAGCCGATATACCCTATATAGTACAAAGTTCTATCATGTTTGTGTTTGATATGCATTCTTCCTGTGTGAATGATATACATGGCAAATTTCTTGCAGCTTGTAGACATTGTACACAAGATTGTTCTTTGGAAGCTTCTGGAACCGGAGTGACCTGAGTAATAAAGCTTTCTGTGTTCGTCAAAGCTTCAATTAGAGCTTCCATTGTGGTCTTGGACAATCGCAAGAGCTCGTACATGGTGATCCTTGAAGGGATATTAGCCAATTGCGCCATGATGTTGAATCGGAAGGGTGTGTTAGATCCTCCAGTCTCCTGTTGAAGAAGGTTCTGGTTAAAACGAAGCTCTTTTTGTTTTTCCTTGTCTGTTGTCTTCTTAGGAGCAGAACCCCCAGCCTCTTGGGCTTGCTCTTCTGCTCCTTGAGCATCTTAGCTATAATTTCTCAAGTATGTTTTCCCTGATCGGGTGTCAGGGTTCCCTCCTTGATCCTACAAGGACAATCCTCTCTTCTTCTAAATCCGTGAGAGGTTTGAGATTATCATCATCCTCAGTTATAGAGGGGCTAATCATATTGGACGACTTCGCATTGCCTCTCTTCTTCTTCGTTGATGCACTTGTCCACTGATAGTCTTCAATTAAGTCAAGATGAACCCACGTGATTTCTCCTTTTGGAGTGGTGAGGGGTAACAAGCATTTATCCTTCTGACTATGTGGGTCAGCATTCTTCATGTGCATTTCTTCCTTAGGAATAGGGATAACACCATCTGCTGCCGTTACAGGAGGAAAATCTCCGAACTGGACCAATATCAAATTTATGGATACGATCTTCTGTTCTGGTTTTAACTTGAGTACATTAGCGTCAACCAGGTGTTGCAGAATATCCTTCAACCAGGGCATGATTCTCTCCCCCGTTCTAATAATTTCTCCAAATAAACCTGCAGAGACAAGTATTGAACACATATTTTAATTTTTTTTTTTTAATACTTGAAGAGAAACATCAGAAAATAAACATATCGCACATCAATTTTCCTTCACAGATCCCCGTTTATGTACTCCATAACAACTATAGATTTCAACTGCTCAGCTATGTTTCCTGAAAGCACCAAGCATTCTAACCTATCCCAAGATTCCAAACTTGCAATGAAACACAGATCGCGAGTTGGCTTTCTCAATCTTAGGGGAAAATGACAGAGAAGCAGTGCAACATCCGGAATATGAAAATGCAAAATTGGAATAATAGATGACACACGCAAAAAGGATTGGGCAAAAAAAAAAGCTGAACAAAAAGCTTAACAATATGCAACATTTATAGGTATAGTTTAAGCAAACCGCATTTTAATACATTTCGACAAGAACAAAATCTCAAATTAAAAAGAAATTTACACAAGCAATGATGGGAGTTTCTTAGGGAAACGTCAATAACCAAAAAACTGACATAATATTAGGATATATATACACATTTAGAATTTCATTAGACTTGTACCATATGCAGGATATGTCATATATCGTCACAGAAATTTGCACTGCCTGGTCTCATGACAATGGGCCATATTTATACATCAATATATCAAATAATTTAATTCGTGAAATTGTTATTTGCACTCATACTACACAAACCTTGTACATAAAATAAATTCATGGCTTTGCTCAACAAACGAACTTGGTTGTGGAAAAATATCCTTTTCATTCCTCCAGATGATTGAGATAATTACTAGCCAGTTCCTTTCATGCCACTGAACAAGTAAAACCTTTTTGTGATAAACTAAAGCTTAGCTAAACTCTTGGCCATTGTGGACTGACTACCTGCAAAGGCCAAAATACTGAAATCAGCGAAATCTCACCCTTTTTCAACAAGAAAGTCAAAATGAATATCATCCCTCCCTCGAAGACTGTCTAGTATATAAAACATCCTGAATTGTTCATGGAGGGTACAGAAATTACAGTATGCATTATTCTACATTTTAGCTGCATCATAATTCTGGAATCACTTGTAAATTTAACTCGACGTTGTTACTAATAAAATTTTGGAAAATGTTATTAGTTGGTGCTTCGCCATATGATGGTAATTTGTTTGAGGGGCTGGGAAAACAAGATTATGTACTACTGATCGAAATTAACAAACTCTGGGAGTGACACATCACATTATGTATATCGAGAGACATGTTTATTTTATGGAGAGATTTAAAAGTTAGAGAACACACTGCAGTTAATGGAAAACTAAAGGAGATGTAACAGAGGCATATTTAGGTCCTGGGCAGATATGAAAGATAGCACATACAATAGCAAATGAAGAAGGAAATAAACTTCAACTGATACATGTTTTATTTTGTTCAGAATTTCGAATAAAGCCTGTCCACTCATAACGAATAGCGGGTTAATTGCACAGGCCCCCTGTTGTATCATGTTGTACCACTTATTACCCCTTAACTTTGATATAGGCAGGCACACTCCCTGAGTGAACATATTGACTCCTTTAACATGTTTTTTAGAGGGGGCGGGGGGGGGTGTTGTTTGTTGCCCAAAAGACATATGCAGGCATTCCCTAAGGGTAAATGAGTACAAAATTTCACTTAGGGTGTGTATTTGTGACTGCGAATATCAAAGTTAAGAGGTAATAAGCAGCACATTGTGATACTACAGGAGGTCTATGTGCACTTAACCTTGGTAAGAAAACCATATCCAACAGTAAAATTATTTCCACTTTTCCCTATCTTCAACCCATTACAAGCGAAAGTTCCCGCAAGAACGGCAAACTCCAAACAATTAGCAGTAAAGACATTGAAGATGTAAACTTATTATGAAAGTTTCTTTTAAATTAAAACTTTATAAACATAAATGTATCAAAGATATGGGCAGCATTTTCAAACCTCTAGTGTACTAAATACTAATCGCATCCGGCTAGCAACAACCGACGGCTCTTCAGCACTGCCCATTACAGCCATTTGTTCTAGCTGGAGAGTTTTCACAGGTAGCCTGAATGTAAGAACTTAAATTTTAGCAAAAGCACCAAAGAGGTTAATGTTGATATAAATGAATAATGGAGGATTTATAAGGAAGGATACCATTTATATGGTTGGATTACATAGAAGAAAATTAAAAGGTTCTTAATTAGTAGGTTCGTAATTAGTAGTAAGTAAGTTTTAGTATCATATTGACTAATTGAATCCATTTTAAATGGTTCAAACTAACATACGTGTTATACATGGTATAACAAAGGTGTTAGAAATGTACATACGTGTTATACATGGTATAACAAAGGTGTTAGAAATGTACATACGTGTTATACATGGTATAACATAGATGAAATGTCTTCATATTTTTGTTGTCAGACACTTAATTTTAAAATGTGTCACCTTCTCCACATGAATATAGGTGAGTTTATGCACATGGGCGTTCATGTTCAAATGCACATGTAATCGAAAAACAAACATGAGGTGTTGAAGCGTTTATGGAATCTTTCATTAAAAAAGATTGCCTGTAGAAGGGTATATATGAAACAGGACTCGTAGAATCAGAACTAAAAGCATCCATGATGCATTTAACATAGTGGACCTTCTGTGTTTTTTGAAAATTGACAGAGATCCATGAATCCCTGTCAATCCGTTCACGTGAATCATCTAATATCATGGTCCTCATGGTTTCTTTTAGTTGATGGAATCTGACATACTGTTTTACATCTTCATATGATAACATGATGCACACCCTCAGGACTTTGGCATCACAGAACTATAGAATACATGCAGAGGGTCTGTTCCTTTTTGTTGGTTCCTTTATGTTAGATGTTCACGGAACTCTTAATTCTTAGATCTAGCTACTGTAAGTTATGTCCCTTACAAAGATATGGGTTGCATGTAACATCCACATTGCTGTACATGCACGCCTAAGGAACCAGATTCATGTACATTAAGTTACAGACAATACAACAGAAGAAACTGTAGAGACAATTGTGAGTATCCTTGTTAGCCTTGTTATAGATAGGACTCACCTTTATGTTTCGCAAGCAGATTATCAAAATATGGCAAGATACTGAGTTAAACAATACAATGGAGATGAGATGTTTGATTGAACACTGTTCTGTTTTAAGTAAAAGTCCTGCCATGTCCTGAACCTTTATCAATATCGT